ATCTATAATTTTCTGCCAAATTTTTGGTAGCTTTTCAAAGATTTCGGCCCAGAAATTTGGCGGCCGCCAGTCCAAAAACATGTCAACAGCATTTCGGACGTCTTGTGCAGAGCACCAGCAAGATGTAGCTGTAGGTTTGAAAAAAAGGTAGAAGTCCGAAGGAGAGATGTCGGGGCTATATGGAGGGTGTAGCAAAAGATCCCATTCAGCTCTGCACGGAGTTCAGCTGGTGAATGCAGACATGTGTAGTCTTGGCATTATCTTGATGGAATATGGCTTTTTTGCTCCGGAACTCAGGTCGACGTTTTTCCTTGACAGGAGCCTCAACACGGTCTAGCATCTGACTGTACACCTTAGTATCGAGAGTGTTACCTTTTCAAGGTAGTCTTTGTGGGTGATACCCACAGAAATCCCACCAGATACAAAGTATGAACTTTTTGTTAGTCAAAACTGCCCTTTGCGACGCTGCCGATGGGCTCACCGGGTGAACATCAGTCCCCTTTTCGGGCTGTGTTGTTGAAGTAAATCCACTTTTCATTCATAAGTGACGATCCAGTCCAGAATTTCGTCCTTGCTTTGGTATTATTAGTGCAGACCCGAACACGTCTGTCCTTATCTGCGTGAGTGAACTCATGCGGCACCCAGGGGTTGAACTTGTGCGCCAAGCTTATGCGATGCATAGCGCAACTAATGGACATGGCACTAACGTCTAACTCCTTAGCAAGCTCTCGAATGGTTTCATAACGATCTTCTTCTACAAGTTCTCGCAGGCGAGCCTCATTAACATTGGTAGGCCGGCCGGAGCGCTCTGCTTCTTGAATGTCCATGACCTTCATGTGTCATATGACCTTCAGTACCATATGATAGAACATTAGTGCCTAACCTTACACATATTTTTGTTGACATGCTGTGGCTAAATGTTTGCAGAACAGGAAGCAAATGATGGTTCTCATTTGGTAGCGTTATAGATCGATTTCAGACACCTTGAACTTAATGATAACGATATTTTATTACAAATTTCGTAAAACAGTATTCTAAATCAAGTTCCTTTCTTTCAAATGCCAAAACATCATATGACAAAATACTGATTAAACAAGCCAACGCGAACTGTTTACACAGACAATATTTGCAATGGCGACAAACTTTCGTTAAAACCCTAAAAGAAAAATTTACATTCAGAATGTAAATAAAAGTAGATATCAGAGATCAAGAAATACGACCAAATTTTCATTTTAAATACCATTTCTTTAAATGTAGATAATTATACGTCTTTTATCTCTAGTAAACTTTCTAAAAAGATCTGGATAAGGTTTATAATGAAAAAATAATGTTTCATCCGTCAGTTTTAACCATGCATTTAGGCATATATCATTTTCAGTCTCCGTAGATTGTAAATTTTTCTAGGTAATCCAACCCAGCTTTACAAAATCAAACACGTAGTTATAACAAGGATACTTTTATTTGGAATTACGAAAAGAATTCATGATTATATTGCCAATATGTAAGAGTAAAAATAGCAGCTTACAGAAAATGAAATTCAACTTGACAAATGATTAGACTTATGGTGTATTGATTTTTAAATTGTTTCCTTAATTTAAATGAAAATGGTGTTTAACTCAATGTAATAGAATTTTTAATAGGTTGGAATTAACTTTGCAATTTACAATTCAGTTATTTATATAATGTTAAGCAAATTTACCATTGAAACCCAAGGACTATTCTCAGTGCACTTTCTAGCAAATAGCTGCATGATATTTTTAATCATGCCACTAAAAAACATGAATTGATGTCATATTGAACTAATGCAAGGAAACTAAATTAAATGAAATTATTCTGATAAATACTTCATTATTTCTGAACTAGAGAGGCAAAACTTAAATACCAGAATTTTTTATTATCCCCGTCTGTATCTTTATTTTTTTTTTGTGTGTTGTTTTTCCACTCCATATGCGAGAATACGGCTGGAATTTTAGGCATTAGGAATCTTCTTTAATTGGACTTATCACTCTGTAAATAAATCTTGTGTTCCACGGTCTTTAATACTTCAACAGATTACACAAGTGGTTTCGCATTAAAAGCAACAACTGCCGTAAGTGTACCCAGATAATTATGTTTGCCAAAAGAAAGAAAAGTATGTTTCCCTGTAGTTGGAGCTATTCCAGGGTTTTTTGGACAATTACTGTACAGATGATACAAAATTGCTCTCAGTTGCCTGTTTCTATCCAGTTAATCGTGGCTTGGAATGTCAAAGAAAAGGAAATAAACCTTGGTCTATTTGGTCTAACTTCTTTTCAAACGCTCACTTACTCTCCTGTAAATCTTCGTTTTGCTCAATGCAAACTAAGTATAAAATGTGGGATGAAAATATATATACAGAATGCAAATTTGAATTAGATGGGATGTAATACTAGAATCTAAAAAAAAATATTCAAAAACGCTAAAGAACGTTTTTAGTTCTTAAGCCTCTCAGATAGACAGGCGACCATCAGCAAAATCTTGGATAATGTACGATCAGTTAAAACATTTCTTGTGCAATTTTGAGGAATATTTTTACTTCCTTTTTTCGAAGGAAGCATTGTAATCGGAAAAAATTTCGGGTATCACATTTCAACGAAAATATCCATTTCAAGTGCTTTCGAAACCATCTAAACGATGTTTTGCATGATATCTGCACGTACGGGCAGAAAATCCTGCGTATATTAAAAATATAGAATACCATTCCTCGTATCAAAAAGGAATACCTTACCTGCATAAAAGAGCTTTGCATACCCGCAAATTTTTATTCCCTTAAATTTCGTTTTCACGGACATTTTTTCAATTTAGGAGCTATTACATTTTAATTGCAATACTATGAAATCTTCGCAAATCCGGAACATATTTACGCTGTATAAACAGCAGCTATACAAAAAAATACCATGAGAAAAGTTCCGTACATTAATAAAAGTTAATTAAAATGAACACTTTGAAATTTTCATTTTCTTTCTGATGAGACATATATATTCTTTTAATATTATATAAGTAGTTTACTGCAAACCTAATCTCAGCTTGGGACAGAAAATATTTAGGCTCAGTGCGTTTTGTTTGAAACTGGCAAAATTGTTTAGCTAACATGATTATTTTAGTTTTGCATAAAAGTAATATGTCTTAATATAAAATATTACATTGATACAGCTATAGCTCTCTGACTGATGTTAAATGATATTAATCTGAAATAAATTTGGGACATAGTTTTCCACTGGCATCATTTGGTTTCGAAAACCGTCCACAAATTTTTGAAATAGATCTTGATAATTGAAATATTCTGAGCGTATAATTCTGTGATTGAGCTTTCATCTTTTCTATTTAGATTCAGAAAATGCGATAAAATTGCGTATTAATAGCTTAAAGTTATTTAGTGTGAATAATTATGACGTGGTTTACAATAAAGCTGAATTGATAATGAATGACTAGTATCTCTAAAAGATTCATTTATGATTAAAAACGACATTTATACACATGAAAGAGAACTTAATTAAACTCTTCATTTAAAAATGAAGTATTTTTCTTATTATGACCAGTAATATAAGAGGATAATATTGAAACTTATTATAGCTGGGATTGCATATAGAGCATGATGAATCGTTTCACTCTATTGTAAGCATATGCCTGACTAATGCATGTGGCAATATAGCAAATTTGAATTACAGTTTTGTGCTGCAAATAATGTAAGGAGAATTATGTGTTAGCATGCCGAAAGGAACTAGCTAACGATGGTAAACTTTATGAATACTGACTTTAAATAATTTACTGCTAGGTCTGTCAGTACAGGAAAATTACAAAGAACTCTGACTTCAATTTCAGGCATGTATCTTTCATTTCCTTTGACGGATTTAGTCTGTTTACAGTAAAAATAGAAAGCAAAAAAATATGAGACAAACACGGTGCCTCATGTCCTCTGACAAAACAGTATCACGTAATATGGGCTGAATGCGTCTTGTGATTAAAGAGGACAATCAGGTGATTTAAGTGGACATTTCTGAATATTGATCTGAGTTTATTTCTTCATGATTATGGCAAAGCGATTATCTATCTAAGAGGATGGATGCCTTCGTGCAAGACTTTCTGTGGGAAACAAATTGATACTTATGTATGTTACACTTGATGAAATCCCCCAAAACTGCAGGCCCGTTCATCAGCAATCGAACCCAGGCCGAAGAACGAGTGTTTGGCTACTTTACCGCTAGACTATTGGCGAGTCACGAATCTGCGTCACTTTCTAAAGATCTTCTGGAATCATCTGGCTCTTTAGAAGTTTCATAGAAGATGTATTGTTCATATAATGGCAACGACGCAAAAGCATATTTGCGTCGATTTTTTATATAAAATGTTTAAGATTTCATCAAAAACAGTGCAATGAAATGCATGACATCCTGAAAGGTTATGGAACTTTATTATTATTATGATTCTCGGAGTAAACGGCATTACTACAGTGGACATTTGTAGGTAAATACACACGAACAATATTCAAGCGCGGATACATATGTCGTGCAAACGGTTGCCATGTTAAGGTAATCGGATAAACAATTTATAAGAATATCGTTTTCCGAAGCGTTAAACAATGTTGGAAGGAACATGAATGTTTGTTTACGTGACGCAGGAATGGAATGTTTAAAGAAAATGGTCGGAATGTTTAAAGAACGGAATGTTTCACGGAATGTTTCAGGGAATGTTTAAAGAGAATGGTCACCCAGTCGAATCTATGCTTATTATGAAAAACAACTTAAAGGCGCTCAAAGGAACTGACAGTGAAAATCTTCCACGTTCTTTACATCCAAGAAGTAAGCCATTCGTCTTACATCCTGAAACTTGCGGGCCTTGCAACCTACTTATTACTTAAAATCCAGGTACGTTAACGTGGAATGTCAGTTGATATTACCAATGCAGCTGTTGCCTACGAAAAATGCTAATATATTTTCCAGCAGTATTTATGATTCTTTCCTAAACTCAAATGTACCACATACCTTCCACAACGAGTTCTGTTTCCATTTTGTCTTCTCCCATTGTATTACTGACATAGCAAGTATATTTTCCTGCATGCGAAGGCTGTGTCTTTTCAAAAATCAGAATTCCTCCTTCTTGTCGAACTGATGATCCTAATCCAGGCATATTTAGCTCATCCCCGAAATGCTTTCTCCACCTATAATTTGGAATTGGATAGCCTTGGGCAACACACGCTAATGTTGTTCTTTGTCCTGCTCGAGTAGCGACTCGTATGGAACGTCTTGTAATCCTTGGTGCCTGGCTATGATGTGGATCTGAAATACAAAACGTCTATTAATCACAATGGTACTGTATGTTCAAAACTGCATTGAATTATCATTATAAATGTAAGACATTTTTTTGAAAAACATACATATTTTAAAAGACATGAAAATTTTATTTCAAAGGAATTTAAACATTTAAAGAAATCAAGGTTTTTTTCCCTTATACAGTCGGAAGAAATAAAGGTATAAATACTTACTAGTTAAGATATAAAAGATGAGTTTACTACCTTTTCATTTTATTAAAGGCTTCCGGCATTTTTGGCCTCGGCCAAAAATGGACGCTATCTCCTCTGGCTTTAATGCCAGTTTTTTTTTAATATTTTTACTTATGTTTTTCCTTTTCAGGACGAAAATAGAGTGTTAAAGACCCTCGGATCTTACACCACTTAAATAAGTGAAAACCTAAGACCTAAGATCTAAATGGTAAATAAGACACAATAACACGCCGAACAAATACTAATTCGGAAGTCAAACAACAAAAATCAGCGTTATATTTTCAAATTTTCACAGGACTAGTTTCGATGGTTTTACCGAACCACCATCGAAACTAGTCCTTTGAAAATTTGAAAATATAACGCTGATTTTTGTTGTTTGACTTCTGAATTAGTATCTAAATGGTAACCTACGCAGAGAGAGAATTCTGCAAATATATAGATACATATGATTTAAATCTTTTACGTAAAATGATGTAAAATCTTACGTAAAATAAAATAGACTCTTTCTTGCTTCCTTATTTGGCAAAGAACTGGTTCCAGTCTGCGGCAATGCGAATTTCATTGATAAAGTATTGACTTCTCAGCAAATACTTCGAAAGAGAATTCGAATTTGGGTCATTTTATATGTTTTATGTTTAGATGAGAGTTTGGGAATTAATTTTACTACTTTCTTAATATTAAATGTATAATTACGATGTAAACTTTACACTGAATGAATTAAAACAGCGGTAATCTTTACATGTGTATTTTTACTTACCTTCTTCATTCTTTTATATAATATCTTATAAAGAAGTATTTTAAAAATGCGAAGAAATTGGTAGCTAGATAAAACATGAAAATGTCTTTAAATTTCTGAATTTAATTAAAAGTCTTAACGCAATTTATTTTTTAATTCCAGATGTATACAATTTTAAGAAAATTTTTAATTTATTAAGGAAAAAATATGTTACTATCTCCGAAAGAATGTAGTTCTTTAAAACTATGTGCAATAGCAGAAATTACCGTTCAAGATGAAAATTGTTTTTTCTGCAGGCACTAGGTATATTCAGGCTTTGGCCATTTACTAAGGCCAGAAGCTGTGATTATTTTAATACGGATGCTCCTAATAGACGGCACCCGCTACTTCGTATGAAGGGACAGACAATTCATAAGTTAATTTCTTCCTCTTTTTCTGTATGTGTTCGTGGTGTCAAGATTTCGAACCTCGGCGAAACTATTGCTAATTTTTCATATCTCCTGCTTCCAAAAAATAAAAAAAAAACCCTAAGGACTCTACAGTGGAACCCAAACTAAAAGGTGGTGGATGATGATTCTTCACCACCAGAATTTGGCGTTTGAGTCCCCTAATCCTCAGTCTCGCTTTAAAAGAGGGCGTATATAAAATAGTGTCTCCTTGCTGTATGCTTTCGTGGTATAACGGCAACACGTGGGGCGTGTTCGAGAGATCCAGGTTCGAGTACTGGTGAGGGCATTACTCATTTTTCACGTGTCCTGCTTCACGATATCCTAATTTACATTCATGCCTTCTCCTGGATTCGAAACCGGGACCTTTAGTACGGTAGTCAGAGTTACTAACCACTTTCTAGCCTGAGCGGCAGATGAAACATTTAAACTCATTCAAAAACATTTAAAATTCTCATTGAATTTTCTGTACAGGATCGCCGACTTGATTTAAAATAGCTAATGAGAGAAATACTGGTTACATCGCTTAAAATGTTTTTCTGGTTTGAGGGGATGGTATTTTCTGCTAGGAATAAGTTTATATGACTTTCCTCTCATGAATGTAAATAAGACCCAATTACTTTAAATCAGCACTCAAAAACACATTTCTTCCGATTGTCAGATAAACCAAATGAGCTTTTTAGCATTCAAATAATCCAATCTAGTTCATTCTTATCAAGTTTGCTTGTTCTGGAAAATGATAGATATTATATACAAAACTTCAGAGATTTTACAATAATCTGTAATATTCTCTCGATAATAGAAAACCAGCCAATAGACATTTACTCTTGAGATCACAATCAAATTACTACTCGTAACCTTTCTTAGTATAACAAAAAATGCATATTTCTTTTTTATTTTTGACCTCTGCTAGAGTCCTTTATTATTTTACTATTTTTTTGTTATGCACAGCTCCTGGAACTGCAGAATAACAAGCAGATTTTCGAATAGCCTCATTATTCCTGTTCTTTGTGAGCCCGCCAGAGTCGCAAAGAAGTCAGAAGAAGTGGTTACGCCCCAGTCGAATTTATTACGAAAGAGGAGATATTTCTTGGATGCACTTTCACTTCCTCTTGAATATTTCCTCTCCCTTACCCGAAGACGTTTCCCAGCAGGGAGTCTCTGGAGGATACGATATTAGGGATCAAGAATACTGGGAGAGAACACAGGAAGAAGGCTTACATAGAAAGCTTATTACCATGCTTATTACAGGAAAAATGTAAGAATATTAAAATAAGATATGTTTGTACACATTTCGTCATATCTTTCTTCAGCTTAGAAAAATAAGTATTATCATTCCATAGCTAAAACATAATTAAATTATAATACTTAAATTATGAAGTGCACGTTTTTATTACTTCAATCTCCTATAGATAATTATCTGTAAAAGCACCCATATTTACTGAAAGCATAAAGAAACAGTCATATAAAAAATATTATCATTTTTTACAAGGTTGTAGAGACAAAACGATTTTTTGAAGCAAGAGATGTAAAAATTAACAATGCACTTGCCGGTGCTCAAACCTGGAACTCTTGTATACGTGCCGAGTGTCTTATCGTTACACCGTGAAGGCATGCAGAAACGAAGGAGAAAATACCTTATATACGTCCTTTTTTAAAGAGCGACTGGGGGATTAGGGGACACAATGACCAAAAAATGGTGGTGAAGAATCATCATCCACCACTTTTGTTTAGTTCGTGTGCCACTATAGAGTCATTAGATTATTTTTAGGATGTCAGAAATCTGAAGAAATGTGCATTGTCCTCTCCGGGACGTCTAAAATACGCGCCGAGTGTGCTAACTGTTACAACAGAAAGGCATGCCGAAAGGGGGGGAGAAAATACCTTAGAAGGTGAATCAATTCTTTAACCTGATTGAAGCCATAAAATATGTATTGCTTCTACTACCAAACTGTCTAATTTCGATATCAAATTGAAACAAATTGACAACAAAAAAGAAACAGAGAGTTGCATTTTCAGTTTTTATAATTCCAGCAAAACTATTTTCACGGAAATACTTCTTTATAATTTCGAAATCGAGACAGTATAGTGGTTACTTGAGCCGACTGCGATACCAAAGCTCCCAGGTTCGAATCCCAGAGAAGGTGTGGTTGTAACTCTCCGTCCCTTCATAGGAGTCAAATGTGACCCACATGTTAGGTGCCTCCATTATAAAGTGACCACCACTTCTGGCCTTAGCTGTGGCCAAAAAAAGTCGGCTTTGTTAAAGTCGGCTGAGGACCCGCTATTGGTTTAAAAAAATAACATTTCGAAATTGTCAGTTCGTTTCCTTTGTAAAAATTTTCAGAATGTAAACAGTATTTTCTTAAATGTGCATTCTGATAGCCTTTTATATTGACTGTAAATCTGCATTGTAATTTCCGGAATAGAAGAGCTTTTCGTAAAATTTCCAGTGGTATTAATTTCGGTCCTCTTCCTCTACTTTCCAGAGTCTACCGGTCCTGGTGGGTTCGCGCTTAGGAAAAGCTCTTTTCAAGAGACAAAAGGAGCATAGTTGAAATGTCTTCATTCAAACGTCAGGGGACTTCGCAGGTATATGTTGAAAAGCTATATAAGCAGTATCTGCATCAGTCTTCCTTTTCTTCGAGAAGGCAGTGGTACTTTGCGACGTATGACTTGTTTCTTTGGCTTGATTCTTTGAGTTTCAAGTTTGACTCTTTAAGAGTCATTGGGATAAGGAAATGGAATTTCTTCTGTAAATATTAAACGCTCTCTTGAAGTAGGTTGATTTGATTTTAATATTATTATTCCCACTCTCAATAAATAGACCTATTTTTTGTTGCAGTTATTTAGGTAAACCCATGCTTGATCAAGGGTCACAATGTGTCTCCATTTATCTCCTATTACCCTCCTGTTTTCAAACAGGGTTCTACAAATTACAGTAACTCCTTAGCCTCTTTTTAAATTTGGTTATTTCACCTTTCTGTCTTAAAAGTAGTAACTTGACTATAATAATATCTTGCTAATGCATAATTTCAAAATTAATTTCTGTCATATGTTTCTTATATAACGCTCGTGACATAATAATTACTTTTAGGCAAAGTGACTTTTAACAAAATCAACTTTAAATTTTGCAAACCAAAATCTTACTTAAGTCGTATTTTTTTAAATATTAATGCATAATATTTATGCCTCAATATTTGCTATGGATAGTACGTCCTTGTTATATGTACTACAGCTTTGTAATAATAGAAATAAAGAAATGTGAAGGTAAAATTATTATTCTGTCTTGGTTTATTGGTTTATTTAACTATGGCAGAGCATGCTAAGGCTATCGGACTAGGCAGATGGTTTCGTGAAGGACTTTCTAAGGAAAGTAGCTAGTATTTACTATTATCTATATATGTAATTTGCATTTAAATACAGATGTAAATTTCTATGTAACTGTGATCTACATTTAAAAACAAATGCGACTACCTAAGTATAATGTAAATAACCAGTTGTACATATATGTTATCGAAAAAGCATCTGTGCTTATTGCATTTAAGTACGTTTCTGCATCTGTATCCTGTTGCGTGTTTTGCAAAGTAAAAA